TGTGTGTGTGTGTGTGTGTGTGTGTGTGTGTGTGTGTGTGTGTGTGTATGTGAGTTGGGGATAGGGGATGCCAGGAGAGGAGGAGAGTACCAGTTGGAGGGAGGGATCTGACTCAGGGGTCACTAAGGCTTTGACTTTTCTCATCCCATCCGGGATCTCAAAGCCCCCTCTGGCTCCTGGGTCTCTGTAGAAAGATGGGGCAGGAGAGGAGTAAGACAGGGAGGGAAGTAGTCTTCCTATTCAGACCATCTTCATTTCAAGCCTGACCCTACCAGGTACCTCCCCTGCTGGAGTCTCTGCCCTAAGGGCGGGGCCAGGATCTTTGTAACTCCTGTGGGACCTCACCCCCTGAAATCCCTGTAGGTCGCCCTCCTGCCTAGGAAGAGAAGGGAAAGACATCTCCATCTGTGGAGCCAGCTGAGCCTGCAGAGGACCAAGGCCTGACCCAGCAGGGAGCCTGGAGCCAGAGGGAATGGCCCCCGGGAGCCGCAGACCCCCAGCCCAGGTGAGTGCGCTCTGTCCTCAGACTTGGCCCACATCAGCCAAGGAGGCCGTTTCCAGAGACAGGATTGTCCATGGGGCTGGCCGTCTTTCTTCCCCGTGGATTGTTTCTTTACAAAAATAGGCAGGGAATTGAATGCAGTAGTAACCACACTGCCCTGCTCCCTCCTTCTGCCTTTTGAACCGATTCGTGGCAGGTGGGCGTCTTGAGCACCAGCTCTCCCAGTCACTGCCCTCTTTGTTATTTTTTAGCTTCTCTCTCAGTACAAGTGACTGACAAGGGCGACCACTTTACTGGTCATTCTCTATCCCTGGACATCATGGCTTTGCTCTCTTCTTGCCTGCCCAGCCCCCTCCCCCTACACACAAGTCCTCCCCCTCTGTTTCTTGTGGCCAAGCTCTCTCCTGTAGCCCCTGAAGGTCAAAGAAAACCCCTTCCCACCTGAGTCTTGTCTGGACAGGCCTGGAGCAGAGGCCTGAAGGTTCCCCCAGCTCTGGTCTCAGCTCACAGCCAAAACTGTCCTGGTTCTGCTCACTGACTGCCTCAGCTCACATGTGTCTCCCCAGATCTCTCTGAATCTCTTCCCTTTATTACCGTTTCTCAGGCCAAGACAGCAAACATTTAGAAAGTGTCTCCTCTGTGCCAGACACTGTTCAGAACTTCCTTGGATACAAAGGAAGGAAAAACCAGTTCCTGCCCTCAAGGAGCTCCCAGTCTAATGGGGGAGACATGCTGTCAGCAGCTGTGTCCAAGCAAGCCCTCTGCAGTATGGAAAGGAGGTTCTTTCAGAGGGAGGGAAGGTTCTAACAGTTTTGGAGACCAGGAAAAGCTTATTTTCAGAGGGTAGATTTTATCAGAGACTGGAAGGAAGCCAGGAGGCACAGGTGAGGGGGGAGGGCATTCCAAGCATGAGAGACAGCCATTGGGAAGTGAGAGTGAGGGGATGGAGGGTGTTGGTCAAGGATCGGCCAGGAGGCCAGTGTCCGTGGGTCAGAGAGGAGGTGGAGGGGAGGCGGGTGTTAAGAAGAATGGAAGGGGCTTGGGGCTGGTCATGGAGTCTGTCTGCTATGTGCCACGAGCCTTATAAGTGTTGTCCCATTTGATCCTGTAGTAAGAATTGTCAGGTAGACAGTGGTAGAAACCTTGGTAGAGACGGCCTGAATAAGGCAGCTCAGGATGTGCCAGGCAGGTACACTGCCCTTTTTGTATCCACTCCATCTGTAGGGGATAGACAGGAGTGTCCTTTGGTTCCACAGATCACATATCCATGTGTCTCCCTGTCTACACGGATAAACATAGGTATGTTTATTTACATACATATGTGGTGTATGTCTATGTGTTTATGTGTATGCACGGGTGCCCCAGAGAATAATTGCTGACATTTATAAAACAGTTGCTGTGTGCCAGGCACTGTGCTAAACAATTTGCAGTTATTTTCTAATTAAATCCTCTTGACCACCCTGGGAGGTAGGTACTGTTATTTTCCTCATTTTAAGTAAACTGAGTCATAAATAAAAATAAACTGATAAGTAAATTGAGACAGCTTTTTGGAAAAGAGAGAGGATGCTCTGTATTTGTAAGGGACCAAAGACAACAGTCTCTTCTTTATCAGCTAGTTAATTAGCATATATTAAGCTCCTACTATTTGCCTTCTCCCGATTGGATGAAGAGAAGGGAGTGAATAGTGTCTTTGTTATGGGGGAAAGGTAGTCCTGAAGGAGACTTTCCGTACCAGTCAAAGAGCCTTGGGTCTGGAAGGTAGATAAATCTCATAATTGAGAAAATGCAGTAAGTTATATTTTCCCCCAAATCCCCTTTTGACAACAACACCTTGAGGTAGATGCATTATTATCTTTATTTCACAGTTGAGGAAACTGAGGCAAAGAGTGCTTAAGTGACTTGCCCAGGACCATACAGCTAGTAAGTGTCTGAGTCTCAATTTGAACCCAGATCTTCCTGACTCCAGGCCCAGGATTCTATCTACTGAGTCACCAACTTCCTCTAGCTAGGGATAGTCCTCCCCTCACCCATTTTCCCATTCCCCTCCATTCCCCTAAAAAAGAAAGAAAAGAGAATCTTTAGAGTATTAGTTAAAATTCCCGGGAGGGAGGAGGCAAACACTGGGACAGACAGTAGACAAGCCAAACATCTTTGAAAGGAACGTGTTGATGTCGCCATTTACTATTAAAAAGAAGCTGATCATGACAGTGATTCATGATTTCACCCCTGAGCAATCCTCTTTCTCTTCTGCTTTGTTTAGGGGAATATTTCCCCTTTTGGAGGTGAGCATCAAATTTAGAATAAATTAAACAAATAAAGAGTCCTTGACTTTGTTCAAGACTCAGCTGAAATGATCCCTAAGCAGCTGGTGCCTTCACCTGTGAAAGTATGTGTCTTGTAGGCAGGGAGGTGGCCCAGTGGTTAGAGAGTAGGGTCTGGAGTTAGGAAGAACTGAGTTCAGATGCTGCTGCAGACAGTCAACCAGGTGGGTAACCCTGGACAAGTCACTTAACCTCTGTCTGCCTCAATTTCCTTATCTGTAAAAATGGAGATGATAATAGCACCACCTCTCCAGGTTGTTGTGAGCCTCAATCATCAATCAAAATCACTTGCTAAGGGCCTTCTATGTGCCAGGCACTGTGCTAAGCCCTGCGAATACAAAAAGAGGCAAAAGACAGTCCCTGCCCTCAAGGAGCTTACAATCTAATGGGTGAGACAACATGCAAATGAGTATATGCGATACTTAGGAAGTCATTAACAGTGGGAAGGTGGCAGAATTAAGAAGGGATGGGGAAGACTTCCTGTAGAAAATGGGATTTTAGTTGGGACTTAAAGGAAGCCAGGGAGGTCAGTAATCTGAGTGGGAGAAGGAAAGCCAGGCATAAGGAGCAGCCAGAGAACATGCTGGGAGGTGAGAGATGGAGGGTCTGGTTCTTGGAACACCCAGGAGGCCGGTGTCGCTGGATTGCAGAGTAGGTGTTGGGGAGTAAGGTGGGAGAGACCGGAAGGTAGGAGGGGGCTGGGCTCTGAAGGGCTTTGATGCCAAACAGCTTTTTGTATTTGATGCTGGAGGCAGGAGGGCCCCACTCTTGGGGGTGATGTGCTCAGACTTGCACTTTAGGAGCTGAAGGAGGATGGACAGGAGCGGGGAGGGCCTTGAGGCAGGCAGCCCCCTAGCCGCTGCTCCGGCAGTCCAGGGGCGAGGTGATGAGGGCCTGCACCAGGGCCGGGGCAGGGTCATCTGTCGGCATGCTCTGGGAACCTCAGAGGGCTATAGAAATGTTAGCTATTCTTGCAGGTAGTTATTTCCTTACCTGTGGTTTTCCCTACTGGGACCTTTTCCCTTTTGCCTTTGAATCCGGAGCCAAGCTTGGCTGGTAGTAAGCGATCAATCCATGGTGGGCACTTCCTGGCCTGAGCCATCTTTCTCTTGTTCTCACACTTGATCTGTCTCTTGAGGCCTCCTGGGGCTCACAGCTGGAGGGTTGGAAGGGACCTCAGTGACACGAGTCCCCACCAGGACCAAGAAAGTGGTCATGCAGCCTCTACATGAAGACCTCCAAGGATGGGAAAGCTGCCCACACTTCGTGAAGTAGCTCAGTCCACCATGGGACAGCTCTCACTGTTAGGAGCTGTTTGGGGTAGGTTTTTTTCCCCCCCCAGAAATTGAGCTCAAATTGGCCTCTCTGTAACTCACATATTGTTCCTGGTTTGCTCTCTGGGGACCAAATGAATAAGTATCTAGCCCTTCTTTCATAGCATCGCCCATTCCAATATTTGAGCATAAGTTCCATGTGCTCCATTTACCCAATACAATAAAAAACAACCCATTGGCCCTTGTTTTTGTTGTTCTCAGATTCTCTCACCATTAGGAGAGGATTCCAATGATGGAGGATGGCCAGAGAAAATGCCCTGCCCAGAGAGATGGAATGTCTTCTTCTGGAGTAGCAAGGAGGCCAGGGTCATTGGACCCATGAGTGGTGGCAGGAAATCAGGTGTAAGGAGACCCGAATACCAGGCTATGTCCAGGTCATGATGGGCTTTCAATGCAAGACAATTTGTATTTGATCCTGGAGGTGGTAGGGAGCCATTGGAGTTTATAGAGCAGAGGAGTCATATGATCAGACCTGTAGTTGAGGGAAATTACTTTGTGGACCAAATGGAGGACGCATTGGAGTGGAGGCAGCCTTGAGGCCGGCTGACCCAGAAGCAGGCTACCGCAGCAGTCTGAGGGTCAGATGATGAGGACCTGCAGTATCGGAAGGGAGAAGAGGGCGGGTTTGAGAGATGTTGCAAGGTACAATCCACAGGCCTTGGCATCAGATCAGATAATGGGGGAGAGAAATGGGAGTTGAGGATGATGCCTGGATTGCTGGAAGCATGGTGTTGCCTTTGACAGTAAGAGGGAAGGTGGTGGTGACCTGGTGAGTTTCTGCTACTGGACATCATGGTGGTGATGTCTGAAAGGAGGCTGGGAGCAGAGTTGGCTCAGGTTGAACGGCTTCAGTTTTTAAGGTAAAATAAGGGGTGGGTACTGGAATGAGAGGGATTGGGTCTTCAATGGTCCATCAATAGTAAGCACCTACTGTGTGCCAGGCCATGTGCCAAGGGGCTGGAAATTCAAATTTAAAATGAGAGCCAGTTCCTGCCCTCACAGAGCCTATGATCTAATGTGGGAAGACACCAGGCAGAAGGAAGCTGAAAAATGGAGAAGGATGGCAGAAGGTCCCAGCCCCTGGGGTGCAGTGAAGTCAATGAGAAATGCCAAAGGAGTGTAGCAGGTGAGAAATGAGGAGTGTTGGAGCTGAGTTCTTCTCTTAAATGGCCCCACCCTCTAATCAGAGAGGCAGAGGGTAGTGATGACTGATGAGACATTACGGGCGTATGAGGTTATCCCAGTAAGAGACTATGGTACATGGCAGATGAATCAGTCAAAGAAGTCTCAAAGGTAGAGCAGCTAGGTGAGGAATGAGAGGAATGAGCTGAGCCCTCTCCTTAAATGGATGTTTGAAGTTCACGGCCCCACCCCACACTGGTGAAGGATGGTGTGGGAAGAGAGAAAAAAGTTTGGAATAGAAGGAAAAGAAGTTTGGAAATTTCTGTTGGGAGTGAGTTAGGAATTTTAATTATCGATCAACAAAGGACTGCCTTCCTTCAGTGACAGCGTGGGCCCTGTGAATAAATTTTATGAAATGAAGAACAGTGATTCAAGAGGCTCTAGTTGAAAAAAAAGTGGGAAGAGATCAATCAATTCCTTAATTGTTCATAAGAGAAATAATAGAAAGATAGGATGTTAAAGATGAAATGCGATTTCAAGTAGAGCAGAAATCTGTTGTTTAAAAGAAGAAACCAAAATGATGAAAAGGTAAAAACATTTTATCCACATGATAGAGAATTGCTCCAACATAATAGAAACTCGAAAAAAAGTGAGTCGTATCACTGTAATGGAAATGGGACCATCAGATTCCTAGCGCACCGGCCAGATGTGTTCTACATTGAGCAGGTTGGAGAAATAAATGACCTAGCCCAAGGATGGACGAATTTTCAGATCTAGTCAGCCCCTCCTCCCCGGGGCTCATCAGGCTGCCACCACTCATTCTCCCGATTTTTCATGAGGCAGCTGGCAATGTCTTTCTCAGGAATTAGATCAAACCCCCATCTTGGTTAAATGAAGGAAATTTCTTTTCCCCTTCTTGGTTACTCTTATTTCTATATAACTAAATTTCAAAATTAATGAATGTATGCCATTAACAAATGAAAGTGATCATAAAGCAAAGGCATAAGATGTTTTGGCTATCATACATCATTCCAGAGCCACCTCAGGTCCTCAATATAACGATTTTGTTTTTTGCTTAGTTTTTGCTTAGTCATTTTTGTTTTTGCTTAGTCTTTTTTAAGTATTGTGCAACTTTTCACAGGCCCCTAGCCCCCTTTTTTGAAGTGGATTTTCTTGGCAAAGAGTGGTTTGCCATTTCTTTCTCCAGCTCATTTTATAGATGAGGAAACTGAGGCAAACAGTGTTAAATAACTTACCTGGAGTCACACAGCTAGGAAGTGTCTGAGGCCAGATTTGAACTCAAGTCTTTCTGACTCTAGGCCCAGCACTCTATCCACTGTACTGCCTATAACAGGAAACAGTCTCATATGACTCAGTTCAGTCGGGATTCTGATTAACAACCAGTAAGAATGCTTTTCATGTTTTCATCTAGATAAGACTTTATTTCAGCCACCTAGGAAACAAACTAGATCTTTTCTTTTCTTCACTCTTTTCACTTATCACAGGAGCCATTTTAACCACCCACCCTCCAGAATAGCAAATATTTGCTAGCATCTCATCAACTCTTTATGGAATTTTCTTTGTAGCGTATCACTTATGGCTGTTCTGATGAGGAATAAATTTCACATCACCTTCTCCCTTTCTCCTCCAGAGATCTTCATGTATCTCTGATAGAACACATAATTTCTTTGATTCCATAGGGAGAATCAATTCCCAGTAACACATTTCTCAATTTTATTTCAACTGCAAATATAAACTGATATTCTCAATATTCCATTGGGCTTTTCATGGCTGTGGTTTTAAGTGTTGGCTCTGACACTCATAAAGGGTAGGACCTTTGGGAAAATCCCATCTCTGTGCTTCTGTTTCCTCGTGTAAATTGATGAGGGTTGGACTAGATGAATTCTGGAGTCTCTTTCAGCTCTAAGTCCTATGACTTTTGATGGTTTAGGAGTTGGTGACATTCAAGGATGTGGTTGTGGACTTCACCCCGGAGGAGTGGGGCCTTTTGGACCATTCTCAGAAAGAGCTGTACAAAGAGGTCATGGTGGAGAATGCCCGGAACCTGCTGTCCCTGGGTAAGGACGCTTCCCCTGGTAAATCTGAATCCACAATAAGAGTCCCTGCCTTCATTCCTTCCCTAATGTGCAGGGTTTCTAGCATTTATCAATGGTTGGAAAGGCCAAAATGCTGATCTCTTGTGTCCTAGAGACAGGGTCCTCCTGCTGCCTGATTTTCCTGTAAAAGGTCTTTGTAGTGTGGGATGGGGAGCTGGGGTGTCCTTTGTTGCCCATGAAGCTGTCTCTTACTGGTTCAAGGGAGCCTGAGGTCAAAGATCAAGCCAGTGTTGAAGAATCTTGGACTTGGAACTCATCTCAGAGGTTATCTAGTCTACCTCTCCCTGAACCTGAATTTTCTCTGCCAGATTTCGAAGATTGCTCAGGCAGGTTTTCCTTGGAGATGGACAGTGAAGGAAGCCCCTACCTCCCAAAGCAGCCTCTTCCCCCTTGGGTTGGATCAGGTCTTTGGAAGGCTCTTCTTGTCAACCAGCATAGATTTGTAGCTCATGGTTCCTAGTTTCACTCTCAGAAGCCTAGTACAGCAAGTGTTCTCCCTTTTTACCACCCCAGAATTCCAGCCCAAATGGTGGGAAAGGAAAGGAAGAGAATAAGCATTTATGTATACCTACTATGTGCCAGGCACTGTGCTAAGAGCTTTCTTTACAAATGTCATTCAATTTGATTTTCACAGCAAGCCTGTGAGTTAGATGATGGAATTATGCCCATTTTTACAGTTGAGGAAACTGAGGTAAACAGAGGTTAAGTGACTCCCCTGGAGCATTTAGCTAATGAGTGTCTGAGACCCAATTTGAACTCACAGCTTCCTGAATCCAGACCCCAGGCTTTCTCCACAGCAATAACAGCTGTTTCCTAATTTCTAGATAATAGAATCTATGGTATCAGCCCATCCTTCTCTGATGGAAGTAAAGAAAACAGAATTTTCTGATTTCAAAGTGGCTTCCAAACGATCTCCTTCTCATTCCCCACCAAAGCTCCTAACCATAAATACAATGGAAACCATCCTTGAGTAGTCCTGTGACCCCTCCTGTGACCCTTCCTGTGACCCTTCCTGTATGCCCCCTTTCCCTAAAGAGAACTAAATTACGAGTGTCTCTCCATCCTCATCCTTTCCTTATCCCCATGCCCAGGACTGCCAGTTCTCAGAGAAGGTTTGATCTCCCATTTTGCACAAAGGGAAGCACCATGGATGTTGGAGCAAGAAAACCACGGAACCTTCTGTTCAGGTGAGTGAGGGGAAAGCAGGTCTGTGAGGGCTGTTATCACAAGATAACTACTTAACAATGACTACATGTCACAGTGAAGGGAGTGCTAGACTCAGGGGCAGGAAGACCTGACTTAAAATTCTTTTTTCAGTGCTTTTTAGCAGTCAGATCCTGAGCAAGTCACTGAACCTCTGAACCTCAGTTTCCCCATCTGTGAAATGAAGGGGTTGGACACTATGGCCTTTCACTTCCATTCCATTGATAAAACTATGAGTCTGTAACATCCATGATTTGGAACTTTGGGTCATGGAGCTCTCCTGAAGGTATCCAGAAAGGGTCTAGGCTGTCTGATACAAGGTGTTTACTAGACCTTTAAGTCAACAAGCATTTATCAAGTGCTGGGGATTTGAAGAAAGGCAAGGGATATTCCTTGCTCTCAAGGAAGTCATGGACCAGTAGGGAAGACAACATGGACAGAACGATGTAAAACACGCTCTGTATGGGATAAAGAACATCTAGTCAAGGGAGGGAAGACCCTTAGATTAAGGAGGGTTGGAAAAGCCTCATTCTGGAAGGTGGGCTTGAGCTGGGGCTTCAGTGAAGCCAAGGGGAGCATTCTAGGCATGAGGGGCTGCCAGGGAAAGCCCATGGAGACTGGAGATGGTGTATCCTGTTCAAGACATAGAAAGGAGGCCTTTGCTACTGGATTATATGTGGAGGGGGAGTAAGATGAAAGAACACTGGAAAGGGAGGAGAGGGGCAGCTGACAAAGGCCTCTAAGAGCCCAGCAGAGGATTTTATATGTCATCTTGGTGCTAGGGAGCCACTGCGGTTTATTGAGGAGGCAGTGATGTGGTCAGATGGGAGCTTGAGGAAGATGAACTTGACAGCTGGGTAGAGCATTGACTGATCTAGGGAGAGACTTGAGGCAGTGAGACCTAACAGCAGGCTTTTTCAATACGGCAGGTGTGAGGCAATTGGGGCCTGAACCTAGAAACTGGCTGTGTTGGGAGATGGGGGTGTACGTGAGAGATGTTACAAAGGTGGAATCAGCAGGACTTTCCAAAAGATTGAAGATGGGGGGTGGGATGGTGGTATGAGAGTGAGAGATGGTGAGCAGTGGATGGCATCTCTTTTATGAGCCTGGACAATCGAAAGGGTGACCTGGATGGTGTTAGGAAAGTAGGAAGATGGGAGAGTTGGTGGAAAGATAATGAGGTTAGTTTGGGACATGGTAGGAGGAGAACCCAAAGAGAGGAGTGTCATCAGAACCTAGAGAGAAGAGAGTATCAAGGAAAAGGGGATGAGTGATGGTGTCAAAAGCTGCGGAGAGGTCAAGAAGGATGAGGATTAAGAAAGGGGCCTTTGGATTTAATAATTAGGGGATCACTGGTAACTTTGGAGAAGGGAATTTTTAGTTAAAGGGTGAAATTTGGAGCCAGACTACTGAGTTTTATAGAAAGCAAGAGTAAAGGAGTTGGAGACCCCAAGTGTAGATGGCCATCTCTAGGTGTTTAGCCATGAAAGGAAAGAGAGATATAGGGCAATATCTACTGGGGATGGATGGATCAAGAGAGGGTTCTTTGAGGACTGGGGGGAAATGGTTTCATTTGCGGCACTAAGGAAGGAGCTAGTAGAAAGGGAGAGATTAAAAATTAGTGAGAAAATGGAGATGATAGAGTAGGGAGTACATGGTATGGAATGGGATCATTTGGGCAAGTTTGCCTTGCAAAGCAGGAGGGCCCCCTCTTCATGTGATGCTGGGTAAAGGAGGAAAAGAAGGTGTCTGATTTATGTGAGTTGGGAAGGAAGTAAGAAAGCTCTTGGTAAATATCTGATTGTTTCAGTGAAATAAGAGGCCAAGTTCTCAGCTGAGGTTGGTGGGAACAAGCCATATGAGAAGGTTGGGGGAGGAATGAAAAGATTTGTAAAAGCTGCTATGATGAGTGGGATAGGGGAATCATGAAGTTGTCAAAGGATTGCCTTGCCACTATGGGGGCCCAGCTGAGATTCTGTTGCCTAAATTTGCAGTGGATCCAGGCAACCTGGTTTCATGATTTTCTTTCTCTCCATTCAGCAGCAGTGAGTAGGAATGAAGATGGTATCTTACCTAGAAGCCATCCATGGCTGAGACTTGCATAACTTACCAACCCAAGTTCCTTTCCTTATCTTTCTGGTCCAATTGTTGTCTCTTTGCTTGGGGAATCACCGGCCAGATTCATGTAGGTGACTGGCACCCTCAGTTTGGGGAGATGGCAGGTAGAGATTCCTCGGTGTCTTCCAGGACACCTTCCAGCAGCCTTTGGTATCTCCAATATTTGGTCCAGTTTCTCATCCACATTAGGAAAGGACAAAGATAACTCCTTATAAGTAATAAAGTGAAAGAAGAGAGAAATCAGGACTGGGGCTAGAACCCACACTCGGCCAATAGAGAGAGACTAGATTCCAGGGATTGAGGTAGAAGTTAGGGCTTTGTATGGGCTCTGAGCCCAGGCAGACTTTCAATAAACATTAATAAAGTGCCTACTGTGTTCTAGGCACTGTGCTAAGCTCTGGGGATATAAGGAAAGTAACAGTCAGTCCCTGATGTTAAGGAGCTCACAATCTAGGAGATGAGTCTTAGCTGAGCCCAGTGAAAGAACGTCTTTTGGTGTGGAAATACAGTAAGTTCAACAGCAACCTAAGTAAACGCCAGGAGAGAGGACAATGGCCATTCAGGAAGGAGAGCAGAATTGAGGAGAGAGTAGCCAAACTAATAGTGATAACAGCCAACAGTTATGTGGTGCCTCAGAGAAGCCAAGCACTTTGCAAACATCATCACATTTGATCCTTATGAGAACTCTAGGAAGCAGATGCTCTTATTATCCTCCTTTTAGAAATTAGGAAACCGAGGTAAGCTGAAGTATGGTGTTTTGCCCAAGGTCATGTTGCTAGCAAGTTTCTGAGGTGGCTCTGGAATGCAGGTCTTGACTTCAGGTCCAGCTCTCTATCTGTAGCACCACCAGCTATATTTTGATTGATAAGCGGAATGCAGTGAAAGTGTTTTCTCATACATGAATGAGGTGAGAAATGGGAGGAGAATTTTACAAGTTATCTTGCTGAGAGTTGAGAGCTTTTTATTTTTAGCTCCCTATGCAGTCAACAAAATAAACAACATGAATTGCTAGGTACTATAGAAAAGGTTTATTTGTCTATTGGCTAATGACAAGTAGTATATTAGATGATAAATGTACTTGAAGGTCTATTGCACATATTGTTTTTTTTTAAAGAACGTTCATATGTATATATATTATTTATATATATATTATTTATATATATATACATTATATATCTATCTATCTATATATAGATATATATAGATATATACCTTTCTAAGGAAAGAATCTTGTGAGATATAACTTTCTTCTTTCTACCATTGGTACATTGGCTATACTTACAAAAAGTCTTCTGAATGACTGACTGATGTTGCTTACCAATTCATTTGAAAATCTATCTGCTAGACTGAAGAATAGTAACATAAGTGAAGGATAAGTTCAAATCAGAAAATAGCATTATACAGACTCTTTTTGTAGAAGAGTTGTGATGGTCCATGATAATTTCAAGATGGCTTGTAAAGTATTCATGGTTTTCTAAGAGCCTTCCATTTAGGCAAATACTTGTAACTTCTTGATCTGGTGAGTGCCCTGCTGATGAAATGTTCTTACAAGGTAACCTGGGAACGAAGGAACTACTCTGGTACAGTGACAGAAAGCAAATGACCAGATGGGCTTCCCTGTGACCATCCACTGGGAATTTTTGCACATGAATTTCAAACCTTTCTGCCTGTTGGGAAACAATTTGATGTCAGGTTGAGAAACTAAAGGAAATGTTGCACTTAATCAAAAGTGGTCAGAGTTTGATGTAATCACTGCCTGATCCTGAAAAGCTTTGGATGCTCGATCAGGACAGTTTGGAATCACTGCAAAAGGAAAACCATTAAGCTTGAAACATGTACATGCTTGTTGTTCCAGTGGAAAATTTATATATTTACATTTATTTTATTTAAAAATATTTATAACAAAATTGGGCAATTTCAGCTCAATGTTTCATTAAAGAATTTTTAGCTCAAACCCCAGCTTAGACCATTACTGTGAATCCTGAAAGGATTCATCAATCACACAATAGGAAGGGCTGCTATAAGACTGACAGTGAAGCATGCTGTTCACTTCCTGACAGAAGGGTGATAGACTCAAAGTCTACTATAAGAGAATATTTTGGACCTTGGAAATGGTTGGCTTTTTTTTTTATCATGTTTATTCTGAGGATTTTGGTTTTTCTTTTTTTAATTAGGAAGGAGAAAATTCAAAGATACATTAAAAAAGTAGATAATGCTATCCTAAAAAAGTAATAAACAAGAACAGAAGTATGCTTCAAATGAATACAAAAACCAAAGTTGACAGTCATGATGTGTTCTTAGACATGAGAAAAGAAAAAGTAAGGATAAGATAAAAGGGATCATCAGGGAAATTAAACTATGTTTGTAGATGTTATGGTAATGGAATAACGGTAATGGAATAATGTAAATACTTACTATATGTGCCACAAATGGCACATCTGTCATAATAAAAATCTGTAATAAATAGAAACTGGGGCACAAAGGTCTGAGCACAATCAATTTATCAACAAGGCTAGTAATCACCAATAAATAGGATCCAAGACTCCTCAGCAGCCAGGCATCCATCTGACAGTCAGAGCAGCTTACCAGATCTCCAGTTTCTGTACCTACGGCTGGACTGCATCCCCCAACCTTAGGCAGCTTGTCTCACTGTGCAGAGTACCGGATGCATTTGGAAGATGGATATTCAAATCCTGTCACTGGCTCTCAGGAGGTGTGTACCTTATCTGAGGCTCAGGCAAAGATCTAAGACTTATGTCAATGAATCATAATGTTAACCTCTGTGAATATGCTGACATAACCACCGAAGGACAATGATACTAAGGTATATACAATCAGTGACAAGGAAAGTAATCTCCAAAAGACTGAGATGGCACTGATCGTTTAAGGGCTGAATTCTGGTACTTGGCAATTACAGCCTTCTATTCCAGTGGGAGACATTGGTCCTGTCCTTACAATCAGGGACCTTTAAGTGATGCCTTCCCAAAGAAACTCTTTTTCAAACAGCTAAGTGCAAAACAGAAATCACCATTTTTAATAAGCACAATCAAATTTACTACAGAATGTGATGAGCATAGCATTAAAAATCCAACCAAATATGCACTTCAAAAATAACTGAACTCAAATTAATTTTTTAAAGTATATTTCTCATACTATTCATTTGGGAATAACTCACACTTGTGTAGCAACGTCTCTAAGATGACAGTAAAGACACGCCAAGTGTCCTACTGGGCACTTATTGAAACTACACACACACTTACAAATACAAACAAGGGAACGTGCAATAATAAAATGGTTATTCTTTAAAAAAAAAAGTGCAATGGAGAAAGGCCATCTAATACTGAGGACAGAACACACCCAGTCACAGGGTTTGAGTGATGCTAGTCAGGTCACTCGGCCATCTGAGCTCCTGGCCCGAGTTGTGAATGTAACGAGAATGCTGGGCTTGCTTGTGTCTCAGGTTTGTTGTGAGGATCCGGTATTGTTGTATGTGAAGCTCTTTGTACATCCTGGGGATGTGAGCTAATGGTATTTTCAAATGATTAATTCTGCCCACTTAAGTTCAAAGACTCTTCTCTTTCCCTAGGAAATAGATAATAAATCTGTTAACTTTATGCCAGTGGAGAGAAAAGTATAGATTTGTATATATGTTTGTGTGTCCAGTTGTGTGTACACACACACACACGTTTGTTTTTTTCCTTCAGATGGAGAGACGAGGCTTGAATTGAGGGATACTACTGCCAAACTGAGCATTTCTGTGGATGAATCCCGACAGCAGAGATTCAGGAATTATGGTCACTGCAACCTCAATTTGAAGGAAACTTGTAACTCTGATATCAAGAAAGAGAAAAAACAAAAGAGTCACTGTGAATTTGATAAAGATGGAAAGAGTTTCAGGCAATGTTCAGTCCTAATTCGCTGTAAGGAAAGGACCTCAGGGAATAGCTGTTCTTGGGATAGTAAAAATAGGAAATGCTTTACGGAACAGGTGGGCCTTGTTGAGTCCCGTGAGAAGTCTTCTGAAGTGCAAACTTATCAATGTAATCAATGTGAGATGGCCTTCAGCTTGAATTCAGACCTAATTAGACATCAGAAAAGTCACACTGGAGAAATGCTTTATATATGTAATGAGAATGATAAGACCTTTAGTTGTAATTCAAAGCTCATTGACAACCAGAAAATTCAAAATGGAAAAATATATTACGGATGTAATGAATGTGGTAAAGCCTTCAAGCAACAGTCATCCCTTGTTCGCCATCAGAAATTTCATATTAGTGAAAGGCTACATAAATGTATGCAATGTGAAAAGGCCTTCAGGCGACAGTCATCCCTTATTTCCCACCAGAGAATTCACACTAGAGTGAAATCTCATGAGTGTCATAAGGGTGGTAAAGCTTTCAGTGAAAACTCATCCCTTATTGTACATCAGAGAAGCCACAATGGAGAGAAACCTTATGAATGTAATCAGTGTGAAAAGACTTTCAGACAGCGTTCGCATCTTAGTCATCATCAGAGAATGCACAATGTGGAGAAACATTATGAATGTAATCAATGTAGAAAGACTTTCAGTTGCAGTTCTAATCTTACTAAACACCAGAGAATCCACACTGGAGAGAAACCTTATGAATGTAGTCAATGTGGAAAGGCTTTCAGATGCAGTTCTAGTCTTGGTAAACATCAGAGAATCCACACTGGAGAGAAACCTTATAAATGTAATCAATGTGGAAAGACTTTTGGAAGAAGTTCCAATCTGGCTGTGCATCAGAAAACCCATACTGGAGAGAAACCTTATGAATGTAATCAATGTGGAAAGACTTTCCGACAGCACTATAATCTTTTGGAACATGAGAGAATCCACTCTGGAGAGAAACCTTATGAATGTAATCAATGTGGAAAGACTTTCAGATGCAGCTCCATTCTTGCTATACATCGGAGAGTCCACACTGGAGAAAAACGTTATGAGTGTAATCAATGTGGAAAGGCTTTCAGAAGGAGCTCTGGTCTTGCTATACATCAGAGAATCCACACTGGAGAGAAGCCTTATGAATGTAATCAGTGTGGAAAGCCTTTCAGATGCAGTTCTAGTCTTGCTGATCATCAAATAATCCACACAGGAGAGAAACCTTATGACTGTAATCAATGTGGTAAGACTTTCAGAGGCAGGTCTGGTCTTGCTAAACATCAGAGAATCCACACTGGAGAGAAATCATAAGAATATATTCAATGTCGAAAAACTTTCAGAGAGAGAGAAAGAGAGCTCCAATGATCCAATGTTGTGGGGAACACCAGAGGAAGTTTATGAATGTAATCGTTGTGGAAAGACTTTCAGATGCAGCTCCAGTCTTATTGACCATGAGAGAATCCACACTGGAGAAACGTTATGACTGTAATCTATTCGAAAAGACTTTTAGACACAGCTCCAGTCTTACTCTGCATCAGAGAATCCACACTGGAGAGAAGCTTCATAAAGGTCATGAATGTGACAAATCTTTTAGAGACCATTCATCTCTTATTGTACATCAGAGAATCCACACTGGAGAGAAACCTTATGAATGTAATCTATGTGGTAAAACCTTCTAGCAACAGTCCTTTCTTTCCCATCCGAGAATTCATACTAGATAGAAATCTTATTACTCTAATGAATGAGGAAAGACATTCAAATGGAGTACTGAGCTTTTTAGACATCAGAAAATTCATTCTGGGCATGAGCTAAAATATGAACCCACTGTGGGAAGACCTTCAGTCAGAGATCATCTCTTCTTTGCACTGGAGAATTACAGTGGCGAGAAACCTTAGGAATGTGCTCAATGTGGACATGCCTTTTGCTGGAAGAGGGAGGTCCCTAGACATCATTATATTCACACTGGAAAGAAGTCTAATAAAAGCAATTGTGGGAAATCCTTTACATGGAGCTCCTACTTGGCTGTACTTTGGAGAAATTATACTGGAGGTAAAAACGTGGATCTAATTAACAAGGAAGACCTCTTGCTTCAGCACACACATAATTAGACAAACCCAAATTTCATACTGCTTATTGAGCCCTATAAATGTAATGAGTTTTTCCCTGAAATACTATTGTTTTTCAGTACTCCTCAGTAATAGTCCATAGCATTCATACACCATAACTTTACCAGCCATTCCCCAACTGATTAATGTTCACCTATTTCCTGTTCTTTGTTGAAACAAAAATTATGGTATAAATATTTTGTTAAGCACTGAATGCTTATTCCTGTAATGATATCTTTAGGATGGTAGGTGGCACAGTGGATCTAGTACTGCTTCTGGAGCCACAAGAACTGAGTTCAAATCCAGTCTCTGACACTTACTAGCTGCGCGACTCTGGGTAAATTATTTAACCTATTACTGCCTCAGTTTTCCCCATTGGTAGAATATGTATGCTAATAAAATCTACCTCTTAGGGTTAATGTGAGGACCAAATGAGATCATACCTGTAAAGTGCTTTGTAAGCATTAAATCACTATTTAAATGCTAGGTATTATTATTATTATTAATTATTATTGTTATTCTTATTATTCCTTGGGTCATGAGTCTCATGGTAGAGTCATTGGCTCAAAGATGTGAACAGATTAGTCACTTTTCTAATCAAATTGATATTCAAAACAGTGTAGAGGAAGGAAGTATGTTGTAACGAGAAGGCTTCTGGGATAGAGCCAGGAAGACTTGGGTTCAAATCTTTCCTCATGCTCTCTAGCTTTGTAACTCTGGGCAAGGAGCAACCTCTCTGTGACTCAATTTACTTATCTGTAGAGTGAGGACAATGATCTCGGTCACTTCTATGGTCCTTTCCAAATCTAAATCTGTGTTCCCATGAAAAGTGTATTCATCGCCTTTTTCCATAGTCTCTTTCAGTATTCTAGGAAGGAGGCCTGGCAGGATCAAAACTAGCAGGACCAAAACTGAAACTGTAGCAAAGCGATTTTGCAGTACTTAAAAATACAAATCCTGAGAAACTGAACAGATCAGTTGTAGACTTTTAAAATATAAATGGAGGCTAGAGACAAGATGGTGGAGTGAGACCAGCATGCTTGCCTAGATCTTGCAATACACCTATCTTTAACAACTTAAACAACAAATGTATTTAAAAAAAATAATGAGCAAAAGAGAGAACAAAAATCTCATCGAACCATTTTTGTAGCCCGGGGTATCTTAGGAAGGCATAAAGAAAGGTCTGTGTACACTGAAGTGGGACCTGACTGGGTGCATGATGCATTGGAATTGACATTAGCTTTGGGCTTTGGAGGCAACAGCAACAGAGGCAGAAGCATTGGGGGTGGTAAGAGGACTGTATACTTGGTCAGAAAGAGATGCCAGGGCACTGCTGTGCTAGTGTTGGGCACAGGATCAAGAGACATTTGGCAGCCCTGTCACCCATTAACCAGTTCATGGTCAGAGTTTCAGGTTGGAGAGGTATGGTCAAGGTTGCAAGAGACCAGGGGCCCTAGCTGTGTAAGGACCAGAGCACAGACCAAGAAGGCAGTGATCCAACCTTTTCCTGAATCACACTACTTTGGGAGGACTAAAAACTTACAGACTCATAACCTTAACAGCAAAAGCAGCAGAGATTAAAAAATAGAAGCTCAGGCCAAATATCCACCCCACTGGTGAGCAGAGCCCAACCCTAGCATAAAAAGAAAAGTCAAGAAATGGGATAGAAAAGAGTAAATAATTAAAAAAAAAAGAACCTGACAATAAGTAGCTACCATGGTGACAGGGATGCTTGAGACCAAAACACAGAAGATAACAATGACTTGAAAACATCTAGAAGCAAAGCCTCAAAGAAAAATGCATATTGGACATGATCCAACAAGAATTTTTGGAAAAACTAAAGGAAGGAGCAAATGAAGATTTTAAAAATCAGGTAAGAATGGTAGAGGAAAATTGGGAAAAGAAATAAAAACAATGGAAGAAAATTATGGCAGCAGAATGAGCAGCTTAGTAAAAGAAGCACAAAAAATACTGAATAAAATTCCTTAAAAATAGGAATTGGCCAAATGGTAAAAGAGATAAAATACTTCACTGAAGAAAATAACTCCTTAAAAATTAGAATTGGTCAAGTAGAAGCTAAGAATTCCATGAGACATCAAAAAACAATAAAAAATTCAAAAACTAAAAAATAAAAGAAAACATGAATTATCTCATAGGAAAAACAATTAACCTAGAAAAGAGATAATGGAGATATTTTTAAAAAAAATTATTGGATTATAAATTATTATATTATAAATAAATATATTATCAATTATTGTATTACAAAACTATATTATTAAAAATTATCTGAAAGCCATGGTAAAAGAAAAAAGAGCTTAGACATCATATTTCAAGAAATTATAAAGGAAAACTGCTCAGATATCTTACAACTTGAGGGCAAAGTAAAAATTCAAAGATCTAATGATCTTTTCCTGAAAGGAATCCCAAAATGAAAACTCCCAGGAATATTCTAAATAAAATCCAGAACTCTTAGGTCAAGGAGAAAGTACTGCAAGCAGCCAGGAAGACAGAATTCAAATACCATGCAGCTACAATTGGAATCATGTAAGATTTTGCATCCATTACTTTTAAGGACTGTTAAGTTTGGAATATGATATTCCAGAAGGAAAAAGAGGTAGGATTAAAACTGAGAATAACCTACCCAGCAAAACTCAGTAAAATCCTATGGGGGAAAATAGATGTTTAATTTAATAGATATTTAGAAAACTTTTATGCTTTCCCGAAGAGTCTAGAGCTAAACAGGAAATTTGACATTTGGAAACAAAACCCAGAGAAGCATAAGAAAGGTAAACATGAGTGAGAAAATGTAAGGGACTTGAAAAGATTAAAGTATTTACATTCCTATGTGGGAAGATGATACATGTATTCCCTAAGACCTTTATGACCATTAAAATAGTTAGGAGACTATTTAGAGGGATCTAAGTGCTGATATCTCAAAAGAAGAATGGAAGAGTGAGAAAGTGGAATGCACTGGGAGAGGGCAGAAGGGAGAGAAAGAATAGGGAAAATTATATAAAAGAGTTGTGCAAAGAAGAATCTTTACAATGCAGGGAAAACTGAACTGGTTCAAAGTGGGAAGTGTGTGTGTGTGTGTGTGTGTGTGTACCCACAGTTGGGTAAATGGGAGGGGAAGGGGCTAAAAGAAATCGGGGATAAGAGAGTGTCATGTACAGGTAAATTAGGGTTAATGATCAGAAGCAAAACAGACTTTGTGAGAAGAGAACAGGGAAAAAAAGAGACAGCTAAATAGAAGAGAATAAGATGGAAGGAAATGCAAAGTTAGCGATTACAATTGTAAATGTGATGAATTCACCTATAAAATGATAGAGGATAGATAGCAGGATGGATGAAAAACCAGAATCCAACATTATATTGTTTATAAGAGAGACCCTTCAAATAGATGCTCATAGAGTCAAAATAGCAGATGGGAGAAGAATTTATTATGCTTCAACTAGAGTTAAAAAAGGAAGAAGTAGCAATCATGATCTCAGACAAAGCAAAAGTAGCCATCATTTAAAAATATAATGAAGGAAAATACATTTTGCTGAAAGGTAGCATAGACAATGAATTATCACTATTGAACATGCACCAAATGGCAGAGCTTCCACATTCTTGAAGGAAAAGTTAAATGAGTTACAGTAGCAAATAAACAGCAAAATTAGTGAGGCGTATCATTTTACTTCTTCCAGATCTGAATAAATCTGACTAAAATAAAAAAGAATTAAGTAAATGAATTTTAGAAAAGTTAGATATGATAGACTTCTGGAGAAATTTGAATAAGAATAGAATGGAGTATATTGACTTCTCAGCTATACATGGCATCTTAACAAAAATTGAGCATGTATTAGGGCATAAAAACTCACGACAATTGCAGACAAGCATAAATATAAAATACATTTTGGGAGAATGATAAGGCAAAAATTATATCCAATAAAGGGCCTTGGAAGCCTAAATTTAAAATTTAGTAGAAACTAAATAATCTAATCCCAATGAATGAGTTGATCCAAGAACGAGACATAAAAGCAATAATTTCATCTCATTGTTGACAATGAGACAACATATCAAAATTTGTAGGATATAACCAAAGCAGTACTTAGGGGAAAATTTGTATCTCTGAACATTTACTTGAATAGAAGATAGAAAGAACAATTCAATGAATTGAGTATGCAACTAAAAAAAAACTTCTAAAAGCAACAAATGAAAAATCTCCAATTAAACACCAAGATAGAATCAAAAGAAGGATTAATAAAATTGAAAGAAAAAAAGCATTGTAATAATGAAAATTATAAAACATAATTTGGCTAATTTGAATTAAAATAGAGGAACCAAATTACTCATAAAAAAATGAAATGTGAATTGCAACCAATGAAGATGAAATTAAAGCATTAGGAGTTATATGCCAATTTAACTTATAGTCTAAACGAAAAAAAAAAAAAAACAACACAAATTGCCCAGATTAATAG